TCTTTGTAGTATATATAACCCAAAGTCAAATAGCCAACCATGCATTAATTATAGGACATCCATTTGAACCCCTTCTGAGTCAAAAATAATATTGTTTCTTAAACAGAACCCTTAAGCCTAAACACTATTTATCTACCTTCCTATATTTGAGAAAGGAAATGAGTATGAATGTCACTATTTTTCTTATTGTTGGGTATTGCTATTGTTGTCCTACAACTATTGTTGGGGTGTTATTGTTAAAAAAAAAAGTGTAAAGAAAAAGGAAAAGCAAAGCTTAAAAATTTGCAAAGCCAAAAAAAAGGATACATGCAAAAGCAAAAAAAAAAAAAAAAAGAAGAAGTCAAAAGGGGGGTAATAACTTGTGAGATTATTAACTCATTGTCATTGTGTTAGGGACAAAAGCATGAAGTTTGAAACCTGACTTGAGGAATTGTTAATCAAGAATCATTCATATGAGTTGAATTTCTCAAATATTTTTGTATATCCCAGAAAAACCAATAATTCTTTGTTAGCCCAGCCCCATTACAAGCTTCAAAAGACCTTTTGATTTAAGTCTTGTTTAACAATTGTTGATTGCTTGAAGATGATTATCAATATTGGATTGTCTAAATGAAGTGATTGAGTGAGATAAACACTTACCTGTGAGAATTAGAGATGGGTATATATAACTCTATTTGAGAGATCATGCTTCTCTGAGGATAGTTGAGGACTAATTATTCTTTGTTGGTTTCTATAACTTGAATGCTTATGTGTTCTATTTTCATTTGGAGTTGTGAGCATCACCCCTGAAAATTTTTATGTTGTGGTTCTAGAAGAAAAATAGATAATAGGTGATGATTTTGTTTTGGAAAAACTACTTTGCTTGGGACAAACAAGATTCTAGGTTGGGGGGAGTTGTTAAGTGGTAAAAAGTTGATATAATTATGCCTTGAATTGTTATAAAACCACTTAACTTATGTTAATTCTAATATATTTTTCTCCCAATATAGGATGAATTCGAGAATACCTTGATACAAGAGTAAGGAGCATAATTGTCAGTATAATTGGAGTAAAATTGAAAGAAAGAAGAGCACTTAAGCGAATGAATGATGCGAGACCCGACCCAAATTCTCTTATAAAAAGATAAGTTGTGTTTTGAGAAAAACAAGCAGTCTTGAAGGAGAGGAGGCACGACTACTGTTAGGGTTTTGTCCAATCTTCATCAATTCTTCACTTCTTCATCAATTGGAGCATTGTAATGGCCAACATGAGTGACTAACTTTATTCTCTTAGGATTCGGTGCACTTCCTTTGAACTCTTTTGTATCATGGTGATATTTTGATATATTAATCTATTCTTTGATGTTGTTATTCTTATCCTTTATGCTTTGGAATGATTTATTCTTGATTGTTTGAGGTATGATTGGAAAATATATCTTGAACTCTAGATCACGGTAAGAATATTTGTTACGTTAATTGCCAGGAATGGAATGAATGTATCAAGTACTTAAACACCCTAACCCTAATGCTGGAAAACTCTTAATTGTGTGAGGAATCAACATTTATTAGGTTTTCTTATGAATTTCATGTGTGAGGAATCAACATGGATGATTTGAGTAGGTGGCATCAACATTGTTAGGTTAATTGACGTTCTTAATTGATTTAGCCATTACAAAAGAGGGATAAGGAAGGAAGTCAATCCTAAGTACCTTTAATTGATATTTTCTCAACAATTTACAGTTCTTTATCATTTAAATTCAACTCAACTCTTATTTGCAAAACTCAATCTATTTAATATACTTAGTAAGCATAATTGGGAATTTTCATTGAAACTGTTCCTCGTGGGATCGACTTTTATTTAATCGAAATACTATACTGCGATTGATAATGTTGGTACGCTTGCCAATAATTCAACACCACTTATGGAATTGCCCATGCCCAAACACTCCCTAGACCAGAGGTCCATCCCCATAGACCAGAGGTCCTGTCTTACCTATTCTACTCCCTCATTTACTATCAGAGATTCTTGTAGCTCAATTCGTAATAATTCATTCTCTGTCTCATTTGGCCAACCATTCTCATAGTCATATTCCACTACCAGATGCTCTTGATAGTAAATTGACTCACATAAATATTTTTAAAATTCTGTTTTGCACATCATTATTCCTACCAACTGTCCTTGGTAGCAACTTAAGAGAAATTTTCAAATATTTTTCTGTAAAAACTTTTCTATGACTTCCAGAAAACATTTCATGCACTATGTTTATGTCTTGTATGAAACAAAACAATCTATCATCAATTAAGTACTTAGAAACATCTCCTTCATGTATTCAAAATTTCAATTACAATTCATAGTTGTTTTAAGCAAGACAATTTCTATTAATAATTTATTTCATAGGGTTCAGTATTTTGTCCATATCTTGAGTTCTAGACCTCCTTTTAAGATGATTCCAATTGTGTTGGAAATATAATACAATGACCTATAACTTTGATGAAGGCATTATCCTCAAATTATAACGTTTACTAAGTCGTTTTCCTAGTAAACAAAGAGGGGGTAATATACTGTTTGACTTTATCTCGATTATACCCTTAACCTTTTTCAAAATTCCATTTATGTCCCTAGGTTGTAAAATGACCATTTTGCCCTTAAACATTTCCTATAATTCCATCCATGTCCCTAAGATGTGAAATGACTATTTTACCCTTAATCTTTTTCAAAATTCCATTTATGTCCCTAATATGTGAAATGACTATTTTATCCTTAATCTTTTTCAAAAATTCCATTCATGTCCCTAATATGTGAAATGACTATTTTACCCTTAATCTCTTTCAAAAATTCCATTTATGTACCTAATAAGTGAAATGACTATTTTACCCTTGATCTTTTGCAAAAATTCCCACCTAGTCCTTTCTTCTTCATTCGCTCCCTGTAAACCATTTTCAAAATCCAGATTTTCCAATTTCTCAATTTAAAGCACCCAAATTAGTTCTAAATCAAAATTAAATATGCAATATGTCCAAATTAAGTCAAAAACAACAATTTTACTATATAATTCATCCTTAATTTCAAGAATTTCATCAATATTTAAAACTTTGCAAAATATGAATAGTAATCATCTCCAATACGCCATTTTCAAAATCCAGATTTCAAATTTCTCAGTTTCAATCACCCAAATTAGTTCCAAATCAAAATAAAACTATAAACATGTTCAATTTAAGTTTAAAACAACAATTTTATTATATAATTCATCCTTAATTGAAAGAATTTCAGCAATATTTCAAACTTTGCAATTGATGAATAGTATTCTCCAATTTCAAAATTCCAGACATTCGTATGAATAAAACTAAACGTCTAACTCATACCTGGCTCCTTCAAAATCTTATTACTCTCTTAATTTCTTATATTCCCCTTTCCTCCTTTCTCTCGAATTCTTCTTCTCAGATTTCTAGTGCCTCTCTGTTGGTTTTGTATGTTTTTGTGTAAGTAAGTTTTCAAATTTCTTCCTATTTATACACTTATCTTACCGACTTATACTCCTTCTTGAATTTTCTTTAATTTTATTCTCCACCGCCTTATTTCACGTACTCAATTCAAAGGTTTCACTGACTTGGTCCAAAACTATGGTTCCCGACTACCATTTCTCTCTTTTCGTGATTTTTTTTTCATAGAAAGTTTACATAATATTTAAATGAATAAGTTCATTATTAATATTTTTTTATATAGTATTAAATTTATAAATATTTATTTATTCATTTATTTAATTTTATTATTAAGAATTATTATTAAATTATTATTTGACATAATATTAACCTTGGATTTTATTTTATAATTTTCTTAAGATAAAATAACTATAAACAAAAAAATCATATTTTATTTTTATAATAACTCTACATAATATTCAGTACATATTTATAACTTACAAAATTTATTTATAGAATTGATTGCGCAAAATTTAGGATATTACAATAAGCATCATGAAAAGAGGGAAAGGTTGCATGTATTCTATAATTTGAAATTTGAAATGTTGACAATATTAACGTAATATGAATTCAAACTTTTGTAAAGTGAAGATATTACCATTTTGATGTATCTGTCTTCCTGTATTTCCCATCATGATCTAAAAGAGTGCAATTTTTATACCTCCAGGTTGGGCTAACCCATAAGTAAATGCAAATCAGTAAGCAAAATTACATAAAACTATACTGAAACAAGTATAAACAGATTTACAACCCTAATGATGGTAAAAAAAAGACAATATTGAACCCTAATTGTTATAAAAAAACAAACTTTTTTAATTTCAACTTTGCTCTTGAAGGTAAACAAAATAAATATTGTAAATCAGTAACTTTTAAATTCAAAAACCTTACATTAAAGCAAATAAGTAACTTTTTTACGAAATCGGTAACCTTTGAATGAAAAAAGTTTAGATCCAAAAGTAAATCGCTAAGAAAGATAACATAATCTATCTAAACGTGCATATGAAAATCCTGCTTGAGGAAGACGTGCAGCAAAAAAAGAAATTTGATGCTTCTTTTGAGACATTGATATTGCATAGAAGAGGAAAGATTGCATTTGACCACCTGAATGTTCATTTACTCAATGATGAAGGCGTGGAGCGAAGAAGGCTTGCAGAGTTAAGGCTTGCAGAGTCATTGAGCCAGGGAGCATTTGAGAGATTGGGAGAACATTTGGGCTGAGGAAGGAGCATTTGGGCTTGCAACGTTTTTGTGGCCCAAAGGAAGCAGTTTGTCCTTTTCTAGAAATAAGTTAATTTTGTACATATTTTCTTTTTTAATTTTTTTTTGAAAAAAATTGTGGTGGTGACACGTGTAGCAACTTGCTATTTGTGTTACCTGAATTTGTATATAGTTATAAATATCTTATCATTCATTTGTAGAAAATGATAATTTATTCTATTGTATCAAAATGTTTAAAAACAAAATTAAGTAATGGATCGCAAACAAGTTACATATAGTAAAAAGAAAGAACAAAATGAAATAGAAGAAAATCATCCCACAAAAATGGAGCTTCATGAGGTGATGGGGTCTTCACTCTTCTAAAATTTTATAACTTATAAGTGTATTTATAATTTTATGCCCTAAACTTAATGATTATCAAATATATCAGTATTTATATATTTACAAATTTAATTTCTTAGTCATTCCTATTCTTTTTTTTTTTCATATTTATTTATTATTTATTAGTATTATATTATTGATCTATAGTTAATTAGTCAAGACATGTCATTGTCTCGCAAATGTTTTATTTGAGAAAATATTTTATCTTTCTATCTGGTGGTTTTATTTTATAAAATATAGTACATTTACGAATTCTAATATTTAAAATATGTTTGACTTGATTCCATACATTCTGTTTTTGAAAAATAAAAATTATTTTTAGAAAATTTAGAATATTATATATTATTTTAATAAGTAAAATATCAAAGTTTACAATCTTTGATTTTTGAATCGTGTTAAAGTTTACTCTCACTCTAACACGCCATACGGTCCAACCATTTTTCAACGCTGAACTAGGTTCATTGGATTTAATAGCGGAATTCTTAGAAAATGAGGGGTCATCATCCTAAAATTTGTATCTTATATATATGATTTTAATCCTTCAAATTTAATAATAATTGAATATATTTATATATATTTATAATTTGAATCTCTCGTACTTTTATATTTTATTTATTTATTTATTATATATTAATAATATATTATTTGATTTCGAAATTAATTTAATCACCTACTAGTTGGAAATGATAAGGTTTACAGTGGCTAGAAGTAGGCCGTATTCGGATCCGGGCGTTGAGAAGAATTGATAGTGTGTACGGAACCAAACCTTTTGAAAATTGAGGTGAATGCTTGCGCTGTTTTTATTTTGTATTTGTTTGTCAATGGTGGAGTATTGAATGACCCATAGGAACTAAACTAAAAAGCCCGTTACTATATGGGTGGTAAAATGGGCCGAAGTCCAGTGGTAGAAAGACGAAGCACAGCGAAATGAGTGGTAAAAAACACAGGCAAAAATAGAAAGAACAGGACGTTGGTTATGATGGGTGAATTAACATTCTGATTTTAGTAAGAAAGTTGGATGAATCGAGAACCATAAAAAAGTGAGGCGTAGCGCATCTCTGCCTCTACCGTACCTTTGTAACAAACACGTATGAGTTTATAAACAGAGAGCATTGTAACGTGGGAGGGAAGCAAAGCAAAGCAAGCAAAACAAAATGGAGAGCAAAATAAATTTCTTCTGGGTATTGGCGACATGCATGTGCCTTATTGTAGCGCATCACCAAGCCGGTGGCGAAAAAGACAAAGAAGTGAGAGGCGAAAAAGACAAAGAAGTGAGAGGCGAAAAAGACAAAGAATTGAGAGGCGAAGAGCTAATCAAAAGTGTATGCGAGGACAGGGGAAACAAAGAATTGTGCGTGGAGGTGCTTTCGTCGGACCCATCGAGTGATAACGCCACACTACAGGACCTGGCAATGATATCGCTGAAGACAGCGGCGGAAAACGCCAGCGGCATATTGGTGGACGCGAAGAGGATGATCGATGATCAGGATTTGGAGCCAGGAATACAACAGGGCCTGGCTGATTGCGAGGAGAATCTGTTGGACGCAGAAAGTCAAATTCAAGACGCTATTGCGTCCATTTTGTCCAACGACAAGCGTGATGCTCAAATGTGGCTGAAGGCAGCCCTAGCTGCAATCGACACATGTGACGCTTCTATCCCCGGCGACGACGACATTCTCTCGGTAAGGAGTGTAACCTTTCGCCAACTCTGCAACATTGCCGTCGACATCAACAAGCACATGATGGGCGTTGCATCCTAAATTCTATTTTGCTTACACGTTGCTTGCTCTTCTCCATCTCCGATTGCTATGTTGGTGTCGTTTTGTCTCCACGGCTTAGCAAATCCCAGGGGTTTTTGCTCGACAAGGTGGTTCAGTTTTTATTTAGGTGGGTGCAACAGAGTTAACTAGCATCGTCCTGCATTCACTTGGAACATGAACGCACCCCCGTATTGTGCTGCAACAACGCATGGCAAAGGTGTTAGAGCAGCGTTCTCCATCTTTCTTTCTTAGTTGTAAACTAATCTATCTATTTATATTTCTATTATATAAAACAAGGCTATGTCAAGTGACCAAATCACATCACATACCCATATCTATTCTTCTCTAGACTAAATTTCCTATTTTGTTATTGTTTGTAATTTTTTTATCTTGTAATAATAATAAAAATGTTATTACAAGTTTGTATTATGATTCATAAGTTAAATACTTACATCTTGAATCAATCTTCATTTTATAATTTATAGTTTTTTTTATCAATATATAGTATTTTATAATCAATTATTTTAGATGAATAATAAACTATTTTGCACCGAGCTGAGTAACCAAAACACGAATAATTAATTATTTTGATAATTTAATCAATCAAATGGTAACTATTTATACACAAACTCATATAAACAATCTATTAAATATTGTTTTAATTGATTATATGATTGAGTGTGGATTTTTAATTATTTTTTGTTGAAAATATCACATTTTTTTATCATAAAATTATACTGTACTCATAATCAATTAATTATGTTTTTTAGTCGATCATTAAAATCAGATTTATTTTTTTTATAGATTTATCATTTAGGCGAGTTTGATATAGTCTTCTAGTTAACTTGAGTTACTTTACTTTCTAAGGTATTTTGGGGCGTGACTTTTGCTTTTATTGAAAAAAAAAATACCAAATAACAATGTAAAAAATAAACAATCCATACTACCTTGAATAGTAATGGATTACATGCTAACATGATATAAATAACTTTTTGTCGTGGAAGACTTTAGAACTTAATTTTGTCAAAATTAAAATATTTTTAATTAATAAATAAATTAATTGTGATAATTTATTCATATATTTAATTGATTAATATTTTGTTGGTTTTGGTATAAATATAATTTTAATAAGAGATATTACTTTTCAATTATATATATTTAGATCCCAATTTAAAATTTAATTAGGATAATTTAATTATTATAGTGTCCAAACAATCCGTACTCATGTAACGGATCTATTGAAAATATTGATATATAAAATTTTAACCTTTAATATTTGATATTAGAAGATTATATAGTGTATAAACAACTCGCTTACTGATCTATTGAATCGGTCACGTGATGAGTTGATTAGTTATGAAAAAATTCTTAAAATAAAGTTTAATATCTTGCTTCTAACTAAAAGATGGATAACAAATAAGAACTCCGACCCAATACCAATGATAAATACAACGAGGAGCTAGAATCAGAGAAAAAAATTTAGAGTTGTCTTAAGAAAATTTAGAACATCAACATTAAGAATACTCAATTTATGTTTTTTTTTTTGTTTTTATGAAGGGTCTCAATTTTCTTTTTTTACCCTCTTTCAAATTTTACTTTAGATTATGCTTCTTTTATTTTTATAATTGCTTCAATACTTTTTGTTAATGATTAATCAACAATTAAAAAAAATCCAACTATGTAAAAAATGGTATGTCCCGATGACAAATTAAAATTTATTTGCACATATATCTATCTGAAATATATTCATTGAGGTAGCGTACCAGCTTAAATTAACATGTATCAGATTATTTTTTTGGTCTAAATTTGAAAGAATGCATCATTTCATTGGTGATGGTATCAAAATTTACTTTTCGTGTATATATGAGAAAGACTTAAATTTTAAATAATAAGAAAATATATTTACAAGATAAACATTATTTCTTTATATTATTAATAATTTATTTATTTTTGCTGTAATCTGTAAGTGTCCATGAAACAAGAGGAAATGCAACATTTCGCCAAAATTGTTGTTGGATGATTGGATATGCAAGTTTGGCAAGTGAATGTGGGAGCAATAATCAAACACAAAATCTTTGCTTTGAATATTGATTTGATATTAATTCAAACAATGTAGGTTTTACATGAATAAAAATGCAGTATTGCAGGGATTACGTATTTCTTTAGTTGAATCACCTGTTTATTTTACACCAAGAAAAAATAATATGAAAGAGGAAAGTAGTGGTTTTTAAAGCAGGAAAAAGTGAAGGAGTGAATGAATATGAATGTATCTATACGAAGTTACTGGCGTAAGGCACTCCGGTCTGGGGAAGCCAGTTATCTCCGAGCAAGAAGTTAAAGACGGTAAAATTAGCAGCATCGGTGGCATTAATCATGTTATAACCAGGCCACGTGACTCTGTTGGCGGTGGTAGATCCAGGTCCAGTGTTGTTAAACTCTGCATAGTACAAAGTGGTCAAAGCAAAATCACCGTCCCATTCACGCCAACCAGCAGCATTGATCACACTGTCCATGAAACTCTGCATGTAAACTGTCCTTGAGTAATTTTTCCAAGGCCTTCCCAGATAAGTTTCAGCGGCGTTTAGGTTCGCAGCCAAATCGTCGGCTGGTGTAATCGTACAGTTGTGGATGGAAATGCCAGTGTTTTGGTTGGGGTCGGTTCGGCCTTGTGCGGTTATGGCGTTGAATTGGCCACTCATTGGAAGACGAGGATAGAGGTTGCAGTTTTGGAACACTGTGGCGGCGTTTCCGAATATGAAATCGACGGTGCCGTAGATGTCGCATTCCCTGTAGAATTGTCGCAGGGAATGCGCATAGAGCGTGTCTTGGTACCCCTCCAAACTGCAACTGTAGAACGTTGATAAATCTGCGCCGTTACGGAGTGCTACGGCTTGGTGCTTCTCTGCTCCAGCAGTGTTTCGTATAGTCATGTTGACCCCTACAAAACCTGCTCCAACCACCGCTGCAAAAAATGTGCATAATATGATGGTATAAATATCATAATAATCACTCGTAATCATTAGTGATTATAAGCATCAACACCTATAACCTTTTTTAATATATGCTAAAAAGTGTAAAACGCAATTTATTTTATATAAATAATATTAGCATTCAACAATTACGTCAATAATTTATTACCATTTATCAAAATAATCTATTAAAATAAATTTCTAAAATTTTCTAAATACTTTGAATGAAATTTTGACAAAATTTAAGGACATTTATTTGATTTTTTTTAGTTTAAAAATGAATATGACCTGAGTAAATATTTTAGTTGTTATAAGTTTATTATTTACTCGTATATTTTAAACTTTATTATTTGAAAAAATATGGATTATACGTGAAATAAAATAGAATGATTATTAGGGTAAGACAAAGAAGGTGAGAAAAAAAAACTAATGGAAGTGCCTAAATATGAAATATAAGAAGACAAAAATATAAAAAAATTGAAGTGAAATATAAAAATAGAGATTAAAAAAATGGTTAATGTAAATACGTTATTTTTATTTCATTGATAACATGATGTTATATATTATACATATATTTAAATTTATTTAAAAGAACTTTATTTATAGATTGGTGTTAAAATTTTTATTTTAAATACTAGATGTTAGTTATTTTACTGGAAGGATGTTCTTAAAATTTAAATAATGAAATTATATTGTTTTAAATATTATTATTTTATATATTAATATTTTATTATGATATTTTAAATTTAAGTTAGATTTGTGAAATTATATCATACATAGTACTTTTTAAAAAAATTAAACACAATTCACGTGAACCAATAAACCTATTAATTAATATGTAATGATAATTTAACAATCTATGTTTATATATAATTGATAATTTCTTTATAATATAAATTATTATTAATTTTATATTATTATTAAAAGATCATTAAATAGTTATTAAGAAAATGGTTGTTATAATATTATTATTTTCAATTAATTATTAATTGATAAATGTTAAGCAATTATGATATATAGATTAAAAATAAGAATTTTTTTTTATCTTCTCATTGTTATTTTTTAATTAAATTATTATTTTAAATCATTAAATAAAAATATCCTAAAACAAGAAAATAAATCTTAATTTTAGAATAGATATAAAAAGAGAAGGCTTTTTACCGTTCTGGCTCAAAAATTTTTTTATTTTACCACATAGGATGGAAAATTTAAATTTTTTTTTAAAATGGATTAAACGAAATCATGCTTTAAAATACGATTTTGTTCTTTTAGCATGAGTTTTTCATATTTGTTTTTTGAAAAAATGGATTTTTTTTATTTTTTAAATATATTATTTATTAAATAATATTTTTTAATGAAATTATTAATTTAATAAAAAATAAAAATATTTAAGACAAATATGTTAAATTTAATTCATTATATTTCTATTAAAATATTATATTATTTTGAAAAAGATAAAAATTTATTATTGAAATTAATAGTTTAAATGATTATGTTATTTATTTTGATAAAAGGAACATTTTTTTATTTATTTTTAATTTTTATAACTATTTCATTTTGAATCAATTAGTTGTAAGTCTGTATTTTTTTTCAAAATGAAATTGATGTTCAAGTTGAAAATAAATAAAAAAATATTTCTTTTATTAAGGTGAATAATATAATTATATAAACTGTCCTTTTTAATAATAAATTTATATTTTTTAAAAATAATATAATATTTTAATATAAATATAGTGAATTAAATTTAATTATATTTATTTAAATATTTTTATTTTTTATTAAATTAATAATTTAAATTAAAAATAATTATTTAATAAATAATATATTTAAAAAAAAATCCTATTTTTCAAAAAATAAATGGAGAAACTCGTATTAGATAGCACTGGTTTAATATAGTAGTATTTATACATAACCTCCCAAATATATTTAAAAAAAAAAAAAAACTAAAATCCTGAGGTGAAAAGTGTATTTTTAAACAGGATTTCATTACCCAAAATCCCTAACACGATTTATCCCTTTTGGAAAATTTTAAATTTTCGACAGTAAAATCAATTTTTTTTTTACTCAGTATGCTAAAAAAGCCAAAAAGAGCGTTAGTGAGTTACTAGTTAGTGTAGTACGTACCAAAGGTTGCCGACTTGAACGTTGTCCATCCATCAACCACACTGCGATTCCCTGTAATAATTGTCTTGTTGATGCCATCTCCAACAATCATCAAGTATGTCTTCTTCTTGTCAATTGACACGTTTTCCTCGTAAACACCAGCGGTGACGTAGATCAGGAAGTACCCCGATGTAGAGGAAGACTTGTTCGGCGCCGCCGCAATGGCGTCGTTCAAGGTGGTGAAGTTCCCGCTACCATCTTTGCTCACGGTGACAATGTCCTTTACCTTCACCTCGTCACCCACATTCGCCTGGAGGAGCTTTCTAAGACTAACGGACTCGTAGATCGCGCGTGTTCTGCTGGACATCTTGAGCGGCAAACGCCCGTTTCGAAAGCCGCGGTGTTTAGCGTGTGGTTTAAAGGCGGTGACGTTAGCGTTGGTGGGGACCCAGCCCTTGGTGAAGAGTGCGAGAGAGACGCTGTAGAGCTTGGTGTCGTTGGAAAGCGGGAGGAAGAGTCCGCGCCAAGCGGAGGCGGTGGCTTGGAGACCTTCCAAGCAGGTTTGTTGGTTGGTTAGAATGGCGCTGAGAAGGGTTTGGATGTCGTCAGCTTGTGAAGTGGGAAGGAACCTGGTTGTTCTGTTCACCGTTTGGAAGGAACTGGAGAGAAAGTCGACGTTGAGTTCGGCGAGGGTTTGGCAATCTTGGAGAGCGTGGATTCCGGAGGTTGAAAGAGAAGAGCGGCGTTGGAGGTATCTGTTAACCAAGTTCAAGAAATCGGTGGCCTGTGAAAGAGACTTTCTCACTGAGAATCGGCCATAGTCATAAACGTTGGCGTTTTGGGGAGGGAGCATGGATTTGCAATAAGAAGGGTCTGGGGTGGATTTGCATATGGTTCCGGGAGAGACAGAAGAGGTTGGAGGGGTGTCTGCGAAAACTAGGGCGAAGAAAAACAAGGGTAGGAGGAGGATAAGAAATGTTGATGTTGTTGGGATGGAATTGCTTAACTTGTTGGCCATTGGAAGTTGATATGTTGGAGTAAGAGTTAGTTAGTTTGCAAGAACTTAGTGTGGGTTGGAAATTGAGTTCCATCACTTGTAATTTATAGAGGAAATTAATTGGTTTTCTAAATAGAAAGATTCCGTGATGCGTTTACCTTTTACATGTACGCATACATTGTTGGGCAATTGGGGGTGCTAAGTGCATTCGTAATGCAGAGTTGGAGACCATAGACCAGTCTTTGCAAATTGAAAAGTGGGAAAAGGAATATGCTTGTCAAGTACATTTGCACCGATGTGATGTCGAAAAGTTACTTTGAAACATCCAAATTCTGTTTTTCATTTTCACATCAATCGTTTGTACAAGGATGACGGTAGTTGACATAAGATTTCGCACATAGGATATATCCAATAAAATCGTCCCAACGTATACTGTTTGACATTTATCTTTCTTTCCCTCACAAAACTGTTCATGCAAACAAACAAATCTCTACGTCTCTTAATGGTTTGTTTATGTGAAGTTGAGATCCTGCATGTGTGAAGAGATTAGTATTGAAAATCAGCTGCCAAAAAAAAAAGAAGCAAAATTATCTATAAAAGCAATTCAGCATTGGAATTGTATTTTTATGTCTTAATGTTGTGTTTATTCAAAATAAATAAATAAAATACTTGCATATGAAAAGTAAATTAGTAGATAATTTTAAACTATTTTCTAATATTTATTTATTATATTAAATTTTAACAATAGTAATTTATTCTTTAAATTAATTTTAAAATTTCATTATTTTTTATTTTTATTTTTCTTAATTTAAATTATTTTATTTTCTTAAATTCACTCTTTAATTTAGACAAAGTTTTGAAGAGTAAGATAAAAAAAATATATTAACTAAATATTTGAAAATTAGAATGTTGAATGTCATTTCACTTTGTTTTTTCATATTACATGTATATGCCTCTCAGAAAAAATCTTTTTCCTTTGTCAAACAGAGTTGTCTTCAACCTAATCTCACAAATATCAAAATAATTTTTAACAGGTGTTGGAGTCAACGTTGTAATGCAAAAATATTGACTTTTATGTAAAAATGTTAATGAATGATTCGATGATATGCACACTTTGTAAAGGGAAAAGATATTTTAAAAATTCATTTTTATAAACATCTTATTAATAATTTTAAAATATTTTTTATTAATTAATAGAGAGAATAAAGTAATATAGATAAATAATAATATAAAAATTTAAAATAAATGGTTGAATAGATGTTTCTATCTTCAAAATATCATAACTCCTTTATAAATCAATCCTCGAAAATTGCGCCACTGTATTTTCCTTTTAATATCATGGAAGAGAGAGCAGATTTATATATATATATATATATATATATATATATATATATATATATATATTATTTTTTAACTTATTTTTTATTCTTTTATTTTAAAAATTGATAAATTTAATTTTAAAATTTATCTTTTTATTTTTATTAATTATTTTTAACTATGACATAAATTATAAAAAATAAATTAATGTATTATTATTTTAATTACTTATATATCAAGATTTAATAATTTATAATAATTATTTATCGTCATAAAATTAATATAAAGAATAAATTTAAATTTTTAATTTAAAAAATTAATTAATAATTAAGTTAATATAAAAATATTGTTAACTTTAATAAAGTTAATATAAAAATATTTTTAAAAATTTTAAGATTGATTAATCAAATATATGAATTAAAATTGAATTTAATAAAAATTAATATATATCTTTAACCCTAATTTTAATTAAAGTAGCATTTCCTAGAAGTGGTATTTTTATACCGATCGCGAAAATCATAATTGTCAGAAGTAGCATTTATATAAAAAATTTTTACAAATTAAGAGATAATGCGTTATTTTAACTAATTTATTACAGTTTAAATGATTCAATAAAGTAGTACTGCTTTTCAATAAAGTTTTATTGTTATTCGGAAAAAAATAGTTTCCTTTCCTACCTCCCAACATAAATGTTATTATATAAAAATTGATAAAATCATTATAGAAAATATTATTAATTTTATTTTAAAAATAAATTAAACATAAGAAACATAAGATTTATTTGTTTATTATTTAAAAAAATTCAAAATTTTCGTTTAAAAAAACAATATTTGATAGCATTTTTCGATTTTTTTTTAAATTGTTTCTTTAAAAATATGATAAAATACTTTTCTAGTTTAATTTTTTATTTTCATTAATCACGAATATATATATATATATATATATATATATATATTAATAGTTATATTTTATCATTTGTGTTTATTAAATTATTTTTTAATTTTTTTAGGACTTTTCATCATTATGTTATTTTTTTTCTTTATGGAACAATTTTTAAATTAAAATTGTTAATAATTCTTTTAATTTATTTTTAAAAACAGTTTTTCAAAATTAAATTTTAAATCTATTTTAAAAACTAAAAAAAATAAAAAATCTAACACACTATATTTTCTGAACTCCTCTTTTAAAAAGAAAATAAATATATAAATAAAAACTTTTCTTCCGCGCCCACGTTTCTAAAATAAATTTTGTTTTTTGTTTTCTCAATTTGCCATTTCCACCTAAAATATGAATGACAAAACAATTGGATTCAAACTTGATTTAATAAATTCTTGGTACATAAATATTTATATCATATTAAACATAAAACTCATTAAAACAAGTTAAGAAAAATATCATTTTACTAAATAACCTAAAAAGAGCTTCATTTAAACAAGTTAAATAAAATATACCACTTTTTATGTGTCTTTTAAAGTTTTTATGCGTTAGTACTATAAAACACAATATTTATTACTTTATTTTTATTTTTAGATATAATTAATATATGAGTGTAAATTAATTAAAAATTTGACTAAAACTGAGGGTATGTTTGAATATAATTAATATTGTCTAATACTCTTTTTTCTAAATATTCAGCAACTTACATGATATTATAAGCTGTAATGTTAAATGTCATGGGATATTGATTGAAAAACAAATATACAAATGTTTCGATTAAAATACATTGTCAATACTTTTCTACAAAGAAAAATATGAAAAAAATATTAACCAGTTTTCTTCTCTAATAATATTATATGGATTAAAAATTGGTTAAGTGATGTGTGTAGTGTTGAGAGTGTTTTAGTTTATGACATTGGCCGTAAATTAGGTGAATGGAAAGGAGAGAGAAGGGAAAGAAAGCGTTTGGTAAGACTTGCCTATCTTTTGGTAACAAAGCATTTATTTGGGTTGGATTAAGCACGTCTTAGTCAATGGTGCCTAACTCCTTGCATGACTCATGACTGTATATATCTTGCTTTAACATTCAAATTAGGCAATTCTTAATTAGACCGAGGAGAACATGTTTGAGCAAACATTGGACGTCCCGGTTTTTTTTTTTTTTTTTTTTTTTTCGTTTTCAAAAACTAAAGAGTGGTTTTAATAATATATACATGTTTAGAATTACTTTAAACCGTTAAAAGCACTTTTGAAAGAATCTCTTAAAAACTAAAAAAAATAAATAAAAGAGTAGTTTTTCGTAAAATACCAAACTAAATATGCACTTGAGCTTATATCAAAGAAACTTAAGGAATGAATTATTTGTTATAGGTATTTCATAATAAGACACCTTATCAAGTTAATTCTTTATGTTACTAAGTTGCTAGATTTGAATTCGTGTATAAAACTTGTATATTTTTATATTTGTCTTTACTATTTATTATAAAATATTTTTATTTGAATAAAATTATGTTTTAAAACATATAATAACCTGTTAAATTTATAGAAATGTTCTTTTTTATTTATTTTCTATTTTCTAGTTTTTAAAATTTACATATTGAAAAAAAAACAGCAACATTTGCAATCATGCCCCCATTTATGTTTTTAACCATGATACTATAACTATTTTTTTTATTAAATATTATAAGAAATACTAGTTTTATCCATTGAAGACATCGAAAAATATATTTTATCTACATATTACTTGATAAAAATTTGTCAAAAAAAGTTTATTATAAAAAATTTATCAATGAGTTTGACATATTCGATAGTAATTACTAATAAATGTATTGGTGAGAAACTATTGTGGATAGTTACTGACGAATGTTAACACGTCGATAATTACTAATAAATATATTTATGGATAAAATGTGATGAGGATTAGATTTTAAGTGATACTTAGTGATAAATTTTAAAGATTTCATCCACTATACTAAGTTTCATTCTATTTTTAGTGTCATTATTGATCGATTTTTCTGCCAATAATGCTCATAAGTTAATTCTACAATTTTTTTCAACTGGCTTTTTGTTGTCACTTTAACTTGACCTTTCTTATATTCAGCACCAAATGGAGTATCAAATAATTTAAGTGTATTAGATCCAATTCAGCTACAATTTTAAGAAAATATAATCTAAATTAGGCACCGTTAAACTCAAATGTATCCAAATTAAGCACCATTGAACTAAAATTTAATCCAAATTGTCTACAAGTAAACCTAGCATCTAAATATAGTCATAAAGTAAAATAATGTAAAGATTAATAGTATAGAGAACGACTTCTTATATACCTCAAATATAAAGTATTTATATTATTTGAAAACACGGTATATAACCACTCTTATAATTAAGAATAATCAAAATAATATGAAAATACAAGTTTTTTTGCAACCTTCTTTTCAAGTCTTTCTATCATTTGTTAGATGAGTTTAAACATAGTCCAATGAATAGACAAACAAAAAGAAGGAAGCCGTGTCAAACCACTTCCAATTACCATCTTTATCTTTTTTGAAGTTTGAAAGCCTCTTGAAATGATCCTTAAAAGAAAAATTCAAAGCCAAAAAACCAAAAGAAAACATTAATGATACATAAATAACACATACACACCGGCCAAAAACTAAAATGTCAAATATAAATTTACATCCATCACATCAAAATCATATATATAAAAAAAGGTAACATTAGGAATGTTAAGTAAAGAGAGCTATGACTATATGATTTATAAAATAAAAATTCAATTTAATTATTTAAAAAAAAAATTTAAAACCAACATGAATCAATCAATCAATAAACGGGGTGAGCTAAAATAGAAAGATGATCAATCAAGACAAAACCTCATGACTAGATTGAGCAACAAAAAGAGTTGTCTTAGAGACAAGAAGAATGTCCATAATAAGTTACATAGTACAAGTATACCCTTCCATAACACGCATCAAACATTAATGTAGCTTGTAATGCTTCTATGCTCTTGATATTGTTTCTCAATTCATACAGAAGATTTCAATATTTGCTTACTATTAAGAAAAAAGGGCATTACCGACAAGCAAAATTTATCGATAATGCTAAAAATCCATAAAAAAATGATTACTTAGAAGTTTCTAACAAACACAAATTTATTGTTAATTTTATTGTTAGTAATTATTATTGGTCAATCAATAATTACCGACATATTTATCAATAAAAAAGACAATCAAGATTTAATGAGAAATAGAAGTTTAACAATAATTATTGATGAATGTATAAAAGATTGATTTCCGACCTTCGTATCCATCAATAAAGAGATTATTTATAATCGATTTATCACGTAATATATATATATATATATATATATATATATATATATATATATATATATATATATATATATATATAATCAATAAAAAATCTAATCAAATCATCGTAAAGTTTCTTATCAATTTCTACAAAATTTAAATTAAAAAACAAAACTATACGAGTAAATTTCTAAAGTAATTAATTGCAATCCATACTTCAAACACATGGTTCCCTCTATGAGAGACATAGCTATTTGATTTAATAAATCAGTCAAAGTAATTAATTGCAATCCATCTATGAAATACAAGTCAACCTTAATAAATCAGTCAAAGTTTAATGAATGTTATTACTTAATAAAAAAACTAGACAACCATACAAGTACAACATGGAAAGATTCAAGGTACAAGTTATTAAAATATCCCTCAGATGTACTGTAACAAAAGGCAGAACATAAGACAAAATAATTCATATAATAAATATTTTGATTGATATCAATTTCATAAGACAAAATCATATATAGATATAGATACATTGTTCTAAAAAAAAAAAATCATGATCCCTAAAGAATAGGGTGAAAAATACGAAAACATAATAAAAAAACTTAACCACGTTATGCTTACAAAGGAATAATCAACTATATTATGCACTTCTTATGCTTCCCATATGTATACTATACTCTTCAGTGCATTCATTTGAATATTTAGTGAGTATAAGATAAGTCTTGTACACTATAAAAAAACTTATTATCTATGAATTTTAGGTAATATTTGTATATAATATATAATTTATTTATAAATTTTTATCCATAAATAATATTTTGTATAATAGTTTTTTTAGTGATAGGATTACAGTACTTTTAGTATAACATAACTTTAGAATATGATCGTTCATCATGATATAAGTGGGCCTTCCAAACCATTAAGTACTTGATTTTCTTTTAAAGCAAATATTCTGTATGTTCGAAAGGTTTTTCGACACTTTTAGGTATAATATACGGAATTCCTTAACATTATCGTATATCATCATTTTTGCATAATAATGCAGAAAAATGGATAGCAAAGGCTAATGAATATTACATGCATGTCAGAATAACTTATTTCAAAATATACATTTGTAAGTTCAATTTCACATAATAATACAAAAATAACAAGAAAAGATTGCATGTATCAATTTGGATGTTATGGCACATGACAAATGTATATTTGATGAAGTATATTGGAAAAAGAAATTATTACCTTATAACTAAATCTAAAGATGATGAAAACCTTGCCCATTGAAATTTGACGACAAAAGAAACATGAAATGCTACCAAATAATACTAGATCATGTATGAACCACATCATACTATCAACCAATATTCTTAAAACAGTTGCCCCCATGTCAAGGTAAACATTTACCAAGGATGATAAGTGCACCATTTGCAATCATGCGCGGTTTACACCACCCCTTGTACATCCACCCATTTAGCCCCTACCATACCCATAACCCTTTCCTCCACCTCTGCAACCTTCATACCACCAATTCTGTTACCTTCATAACCTGCTCCTCCACCTTTGTCACTGTCATAACTAGTACTTATTGCAGAATGCAATAGTTGAAGGATTAGATTGAACAAACTGGACAAACATCTTCTAGACATAAAGCTTAAATAATTTATAACATGTTTTTTTTTATCTAATACGGGTGTAAAAATTGGTAAATGAGCAAGTACTTACCACAATATTTCCAACATCTACACCGCTCACTACTTCATCCCTATTTTGAATATTCACCATTATCTACAAAGGAATAAGCATAACCAAAAAGCCCAACGTAAATAAACACCAAAACAATATACGAATGCATCATTCTTTTATCTACAAAATCACCTCTTTATCAAGAGGAAAATAAATGCTTCTTGGATGATTACTCCTTAGTTGTCCCGGATGCGGGAGAAGTTATTCCTAGGAGGATTATTAGGAACATGATTAGAAGGGAGACATCTTCCTCACCTTCTATTTAAAATTTACTTAGTATTTTTGTTTCTTAAAAGTTTAGACTCATTTTCGTTTTCTTTTTGCATGATAACTTTTTACACTTCCCTTTTAAAGAGAACCACTTTTTTTGTTGGAAAAGAAGTCTTGGATACGATACATGCATGAGTAGCCCAAAAGTGTAGGGCACTCTTTTTCATGTCCTATACCTTTTTTAAGAGGTAAAAACTTGACTTGTGAGTTTGATTGACTTTGGACAGTCCATAAAGACATTCCACCTCCATTTCATATCTTTCACACGAGGAATTTTGTATGAATTTAGAAACTGAGAGCATATTATAACCAAAACTTACATGACTCATAGCTTCTAGGTCAAATTATGTCTCTCCTTTTATTATTTCCTCCATGTCCTCTCTCCCAAAACCTATAAATAGAAGACTTCTCTTCTTATATTTTGGATAATGATTAATGAGAAGTTTGTGAGAACACTTTGAACGTTACGTTCTCTTTGAAGTCTATTCTTACTTTAGTTCAAGTGGTGACAATCTCACTCATTTAGGGTGAGAAACCTCACTCATGTAGGATGGTTTCCACCTTAGTGGTGTGCTACTACCACCATTATCTTTCCCTACTTCTATTTTCTTTTTTCTTTGGTTCCTTAGCTTCTTATCATGTTAATTTTTATTTTAGGGTTGATCCAATGTAAGCCTTTGTTGTTTGGTTATTTTTGTTTTGTCCTCGTCGTCTCCTCTTTCTAATTTTTGAAAATCAACCTTCCCACATAGAAAACTATCATAGTCTCTGGTAGAAATTTTTCTTGACTTGTTTTCTCTACTTCATTTAAAATTATGGACCTCTTATTTAATTCTACAACATTTCTCCATTTATATCATTGGATGTGTCAAGGGGCTAGTGGGCCTAGAGTTCCTAAGGTTAAAAGAAAAGAATCTATAATCCTAAAAGGGCCCACAATCCTAGCTTTGCGAACGATGTCCCATTTCCATGACAACGGCGTCTCAACCAGTCAAGGACCCATAAAGAGAATAAGTGGCCAACACAACAGAGAGAGGGGAATATGGACTGAATGTGACCACTGACTGTAGGTATGGCAACGGCACGGACCGGGTGAGGCCGGGTTTTACTTCCTCATTCTCCGTGTTCGATTTTTTTTAATTTATTTTTGTTTTCTATCTTCATCAAAATTAGAAAATAAATTTTTATTCTCATTCTCGTTGGTTTCGGGTTCTTCTGTCTTGATCTATATTATTTTAAAAAAATATACATTTATAATAAATTAATTATATTATGGATTTTTTATATATAAATAAATATTTATAATTTTATAATTTATAATTATTATTAATTAAATATACATTTTAATTTATTATATTTATATTAAAATATATATGTAAAAAAATATTTAATCATTTTTTATTTACATATATAGAATATTTATAATAATAATAATAATAATAATAATAATATTATTATTATTATTATGTATTCAAATATTTGAATACTTATAATATTATTATTATTATAATACTGTATTCAAACATTTGATATTATATATATATATATATATATATATATATATATATATATATATATATATATATATATATATATAAAAGTTAATTTATTTTTAAGTTGTCATTTAAAAATATGAAATATATAATTTATAAGAAAATATTTAATAAGTTAATTCTTATTTAATTAGTTTGAAGTAATAAAATTTTAAATTATTAATTCCTTTAAATTCTTTAAAATACAATTATTTTATTAAGATAAAATTTGATATATGATAAATAAGAATAATAAGATAAAAAATATAACATAATAAAATCTAATAAATATAAATTATAAATAAAATAATATTAGTTACTGCTAAGATTTATGTAAAATATTTAGAAAAAGATAAAGAAGAAAAAAAAATAACTTTGTGTTCATCAAATTGGTTGAAAAAATTGAAAAAAAAATTGATGGGAAATATTAAAGAAATGTGAAAAACTTAAAGGTAAGAGAGATAATAATGTAATAAATTAATTAATATAAAAAAGACAAAAAATATAAAAAGTTGGTAGAAGAAAAACAAAAATTGGTGAAATATAAAAAAATGACCTTATATATATAATAGAAAAAGAAACGAAATTACTTTTAAAATATTAATATTTTAAATTTAAATATATAAAGTCGGGGCGGAGATAGGGACGAGGTCGAGGAAAACGCGCCCGGTCAACTCGGGTTTTCCCAGTCAAACTTAGGACAGTGACGGGTCGGTCCCACGGGTACGGGTTTAATTGTCATTCCTAGCTAGGGATGACAATTAAACCCGTCCCGTGGGGATCGACCCGCACCCGTCCCGAGTTTGACGGGAAAACCCGAGTCGACGGAGCAGGCGGTTCGGGTTTTCCCGCTTTAAAAAGTCGAGGCGAGGCGGGGATGGGTAATGCAATCCCCACCCCGACCCCAGCCCCATCCCCGCCCGACTTTATATTTAAATTTAAATTTTAAAATATTAATATTTTAAAAATATTTTCTTTTCTTTTTCTATTACATATAAGGTCATTTTTTTTATATTTTACCAAATTTTATTTTTCTTCTACCTATTTTTTATTTTTTTGTCTTTTTTAATATTTTATATCAATTAATTTATTACATTATTCTCTCTTATACCTTGCAGTTTTTCATATTTCCTTAATCTTTCTCATCAATTTGTTTTTTTTTCAATCTTTTCAATCAATTTGATGAACACGATTAATTTTTTATTCTTTATCTTTTTCTAAATATTTTACATAAATATTAATAGTAACTAATATTATTTTATTTATAATTTATATTTATTAAGTTTTATTATGTCATTTGTTTATCTTATTATTATTATTTATCATATATCAAAATTTATCTTAATAAAATAATTGTATTTTAAAGGATTAAAGGAATTGATAATTTAAACTTTTATTACTTTGAACTAATTGAATAATAATTAACTTATTAAATATTTCATTATAAACTATATATTTCATACTTTTAAATGACAACTTAAAAATGAATTAACTTATATATATAATCAAATGTTTGAATACAGTATTATAATAATAATAATAATAATGATAATGTTATAAGTATTCAAATATTTGAATACAGATATAATAATAATGTTATAAATAAAAAATTATTAAATATTTTTTTACATACATATTTTAATATAAATATAATAAATTAAAATGTATATTTAATTAATAATTATTATAAATTATAAAATTATAAATATTTATTTATATATAAAAAATAGATAATAAAATTAATTTATTATAAATGTAATTATCTTTTTAAAAATAATATAGATCGGGGACGGGCGGGGACGGGAACTCGAAACCCAGCGGGGACGGAGATGGGGACTTAATTTCTAACCCCGGCGGGGATCGGGGACAGGGACAGGGATGGTTAAAAAAGTCGGGGACGGGGATCGGGGAGGCAAAACTCGCCCCTCCCCGCCCCGTTGCCATGCCTATTCCTAGCTGGCGGCAAAAATCATTGTGCCAACCTCACTGTTGACGACGAGGATGAAAAATGTCTACCACTCCCAAGAGGCTAAAATCCTGTTGGTTCTTTCAAGGGGGATTTATTGGGAAGAACACCATCAAAGAGACATGAACCCAACCCACATAGGGATTGATACCATTCTCAACCAAAAACCTTATCACTAATGGTCCTTCCATGTACCGTCGTCGTTCACTCTAACGGGACACACTTACCTAACAACTCTGTCAAGAAAATTTTTGATATAAAAACCACTCTAACCCACTACCGATCAACATTCGGCTCTGATACCACTTGTTGGGTCTTTCGAGAGGGATTTACTAGGAAGAACACCATCAATGATATATGAGTTCAATCCACATAAGGATTTATACCACTCTCAACCCAAAATCTTAAGACATTAGGTTATGGGTCATACTTCCTTATATGTTGCTTAACTTTTTTATTCGTACTCAATATGAAACTTAACTCACACTTGGATACCCAATAACTTCGATGGAAAATGCTTACTAAGCTTCCCACCATAGTGATGTGGCTAGGAGTTGGTGGGTTGGAAAGGAGTTGGTGGGTTGGAAGACATGAATATGCGAGCATGGGTTTAAGGATGTGAGTGTGTGGGTTTAAGGAGTGGATTAAAGGAGGGTGGTGGAGGGGATGGTCCATAACACGGTGTGAGGAAAAGGGGGAGAAATGAGGTTTAGGATCAACAGGGTGAAAAGTATAAATACTACAAAAAAAAAGTCAATATAAATAATTTAATCTAAATTTTAATAAAAAATAAATATATTTTGTACTCACTTAAAAAAATTATTTTACTCATAATTTATTAAAAAAATAAGATAATAATAAAAAAATAATTTGATAATTATTGTCTTATCCTTTTTATTTAATTAATATAATTTAATATATATATATATATATATATATATATTTCTTTTTTTCCTAAGGACCGAGACTTTAGTAGTTTAAAGAGAAACAATGTTTAAAATAAGTAAAATTTGAAGTTTTTACCTTTGCTCTAAAAATAGTTTAAATAGAAAACTTTTATGTTTTAAACTTTATTTCTAAAGAACCACCATCTTTCTAGACTTTAAATCCTATGATTTCTCTCTAACACTTCCTTATCCAATTCTTATATTTTTCTAGATTCAAGCACATCATTGTGTTTCTAACGGCGAGGGGAACATTTTCATCCGATCAAAATCTTAAATAGAGTAAGTTTTTCTTTCCTCAATTTAAGAGTATGTTTATAACTTTGGGACTAAGGTTTGCATGTGAGCATTTGAGTCTTGCTTGTGACCTTAGTGAGGTAAAAATGAATCTTGACTAGTTTATGAGAATTGTAGTAGGTTTGATTAGTTAATTAGAATTTTCTGTGAGCAGGATCTGACTCCCTAAGAAATTGGGGATTTGGAGATTTCAAACTTGAGAGTACTCAAACTGGAAGGTAAAAGGGAAGTTAGTAAATCTTTAATTTTCATAGTACTCTAGGTTAGAAGATCTGGATTGTGAAGATGACTTGGTCACATTATTTAAGTTTAAGGAAGTTGGATTGTGTGACTATGTATGTGTTGATTGATGATGGTTGTATTGAATGTGAAGGTATAATCACTACAAGAAAAAAATACTTTTAGCGACCGAAAGTAGTGACCAAATTTTTCGGTCGCAATTAGCGACCGATTTAATTCGGTTGCAATTAGTGACCGATGTAGCGATCGATTTAATTCGGTCGCAAAATTGTGACCAATTTAATTTGGTCGCAATTAACGACCGATTTTGCCACTGAAATATGATATGATTTCACTCTTTTATTTAGCGACAGAAATAGCGACTAATAGTTTGCGTCGCAAAATTTTGGTCGCTAAATCGGTGACTATTCTATACTAAAATAAAAAAAATGATTTAGCGACCAAATTACAAATTGAAATAGTGACCCAATTGAAATCGGTCTCTAATGAATATTATTTTTTTATTATATTTAAATTTATTTTTTAATAAATATACTTTAATTACTTTAGTATATTTTTTACAATTTATTTTTTAAAAGTAATTTATTTTCTAAAAATAATTTATTTTTTAAAATATACTTTTAAAATAAACTTTGGTCTCAATGTTAACAAAATAAAGATTAACTTTAATTTTAAATTACTAAAATAAAAATATTATTACAAATAAATCAAATTTATTAAAAATTTAATTTTTAATAAATTAAGATTGAAATGATATTAACTATTCAATACATTCTTTAAGAAAAGTTTAATAACAAATATTCTTTAATATATTTTTCAATTGAAAATTTCAATTGAAATTAAATTATATTTTAAAAATTTATATTAAAAAAATTGAACACATCAAATTATCACATTTTAATTCCTCATTAACTTAATTAATTAAAAAAATTACAATTTCAATCAAATTATTACAATTTTATTTTATAATACTTTATTTTTAGTCTAATTTTTAAATTTATTGCTTTATTATTATTAATTGTTTAACCATGGTTGTTTTCATATAATTGATATACGAGAAAAACATTTATATCAAAATATAATTGATATACATTAGATAATAAATATATTATTTAATTAAACTATTTATAAAAATATATTTATCTTTAGTTGAAATATTTTTTACTTTAAGTATACTAATTAAAATTTTTTTTTTAACAAAATTAATAACAAAGATTAAAAATAGACTGTAAGAAAAGTTAAAAATTTAAAACTAATCCATTTTATAAATACTAAAAATAAATTATATTTAAATAAATTAAAAATATATTTAAATTAATATTCAACACACTTTAAATTTTGCTCAATAAATGCATAGATCACATTTGGAAATTTTATCACTGAAATAACTTCAAAATTATTAACTATTTTTTTTTCAAAGCCCAGTTTTTCTTGTTAGCTTTTTCAAAAAAACAGTTAATGTAAATTAAGGGGTGCCTTTTTAAAATTTCAAATTTTTTATATATTGGATTTTGATTAAAAAATTTCTAAAATTGGATAAGAAAGTGGAGATTTAATTATACTTTTAATAAATTTAAGATAATACTAGTTTTTATTTTTATTTTTAAATATGTTAGACAAATGACATCTAGAGGGGGTGAATAGATGCACAAATTAAAATAGATGTCAAATTAAAAATTTATTTATGAGTAAATAAATTGTTTGAACACAGATAAAGCGGAAACGATAATATAATCATGAAAAGAGAAAGAGATAAGGGAAAGAGAAGAACACACAATTATTTATAATAGTTCAGGTATAGTCAACCGTACATCTAGTTTCCAGTCAACTCTTAACACAAGAGTGACTCCCAATTCACTATCTTTCAAATTCAGTTTACAAATTACAATCAACTCAGCAGAAGAACCAGTAAAAAGTAAACTAATTAAAAAGACAATCACCTCCTTAGAAACCCACTAAGGATGAACACCTCCCTAGAATCCCACTAGGGATGAACACCTCCTCTGAACAAATCAAAGGATGAAAAACACCTCCTTAGAATCCCACTAAGGATGAACACCTCCCTAGAATCACACTAGGGATGAAAACCTCCTTTGCCACCAATACACAAAGGATGAAGGTAATAAAAATAAGAACTGTCACACTTGGGTAATGGAGACAAAAAATTGTAGAATCCTATAGAATTCAAATCTCCAAGAACAAGTGTGATTAACAGTGAGAGCACAGAAGACAGTAGAGAAGAGGGTTTTCTCAGAAGGTGTAAAATATATCTGCTGCCTTGCTCAAAATTCTTTTCTCAAAACCGATTGAATGTAAATTGTATTTTCGAATTCCGTAATTGTGTATTTTTTATTTTTCATCAAAACTTAATTAAATAGAAAAATAGCATCGGAAAATGGACGTTGGACATTAATATTTTTGTGAATAAAAATCAGGATATATTAACAAATATTTATTCTTCAAAACAGATATATTTTTCAAATTTGAATTTCCATAATTGATTATGTTACCAGTATAATCAATTATGATAGAGAAAATTATTTTTCCATTTCTGATGCATCATAATTGATTATGAGAGAGAAAAATATCATGTTATGAATTTTATCACACTTGTGCTTTGGAGGCTTATGCATAATATTACTTCATCAACTTCTACCTCCATATCTAGTATTCTAAGACTCTATCTAGTCTTCAGGAATCATCTTGGGCTTGCTTAAATCATCATCTTTATCAAAAACATATCTTGGGCATGTAGGGAAATATTTCACATTTTCACCAACGTCTTAAATTCAGCTTGTCCTTAATTCATCTTGAATGATGTTGACTTCAATGTAGTTGACTTGAATCATCATCAAAATCATCTCTTGGGAATGTAAGGGGAATATAAGAGCAAACACAAATCTTATATTGTTTGGGAGGATAATGATTCTTTCACAACACAAGAGAGTTCTTCCGAAAGAAGTGATGGAGAAGAAGAAGCAAATCTTTGCTTGATGACAAAAAATGATGATGAAGCCTCATCACAGGTAAGTAGTATAAAATCCTTAAATGAATATGATGAGTTGTTTAAAGAATATCAAGATATGTATGAAGGTTTTACCAAGTTATCTAAGAAATACAATGCACTTAGGCAAAAGTTTAATGCATTAGAAAATACTGTTGGTATTCTTGAAAAAGAAAATGAGTGCTTAAAGAAAGATGTTGAGAAATTTAAAACTTTGTCTAAAAATAAAGAAGTTGTTAAACCTTGTGAAAATTGTAATCTTTTGGAAAATGAGATTTTCAAGTTAGAGAAAATAATAAGCAAGTTTTCAAAATCTTCTGAAAATCTTGATTCTATATTAGGTTATCAAAGAGGGAATTCTAGCAAAGCTGGACTAGGTTACAAACCCAAAGAAAGTCTAGAACCTCATAAAACTATTTTTGTGAAAGAGTCAAGGAAAACAGATGTGAAACCAGTTTCAAAAACTTTAAGAAAATCATTTAGACCTTTTCAAAGAAAACCAACATGTTTTTATTGCATGAAAATAGGTCATACATCAAATAGATGTTATATAAAACATTTTGGCATATCTAATGGCAAATATGAATGGGTGCCTAAAGGAACAAAACATATATACATGTCTAGATGATAGTTTGAGCATCTAATTGATTATCAGAATTGGAAATTTTTTTCTTGTTGTCATAATCAATTATGTTGATTCTAAAGG